GAATAGAAGATGAGCACTAACATCCATGGGGATGTGGTGAGGCAGAGGAAGAGCTTGGAGGAAGGTTAGAAAGACAAACACAGTGAAGTGAATGAGAGACAAAGAGAGGCTGAATGTTTTATTTATTAATATATTTGCTTTTTTCCAGAAATGTTTAATCGGCTTTTGGGCCACTGTAGCACCCAATTAGCATGCCTGTTACATGCAAACACAAAGAACTAATTGGCCTGTGAGGGAGTAAGCAGCGCGGCCCTGAAAGGAGAGATGAGAATTCATTTGAAGATCTGTAGCTCCAATAGTGCCATGTTGGGAGGCTATTTGGCAAATGGTTGTAAATAACATTATGCAGCTGCAATTGCAAATATTATTTTTACTTTCTTCCATTCTTTATTGCCAGATGGCATTACAAACAAGAAAATAGCACCGCAATAAAGTTTATGGGCTATCAAAGAAAAGCAGCTGGTCATCAGATTTTTTTTCTTTGATCAACAACTGACATGTGTGCACAATTGTCTCATAATAAAGCAATGGTAATGATTTGCTCAAATGATCGCTAAATATGGATGCAAATACTCAACATGTCAATCAGTACCTGAGGAAATGACATCCTTATCTGTTCCATCAATGAGAGCATGTTATAGAGAGTTTCAGAATATGCTGGAAGCAAGAGTTTTAATCTTTAATTATATTAACTGTGCAAACTGTAGCAGAAAGATCTGATGCACATTGGACATAAAGAGCTCATTGTTCTCCTGTTAGGCAATAGATCAAACAAATTTAACACTTTCTCCAACCACAACAGGCAGACAAAGAATCCCTGCAAGCAACTAAAATGCAAAACAGTGTTGAAAAATGGTAGAAGACCATCTCTCCATGAGGTTGAAATATGATATCAAATGGTTTTTGACCCAAAAAAACTACTGAAGCCCAACATTTTGGAGCTGGAGAGATCCACAGCTAATGTGGGAGAATCTTTTGACAGGCATATTACTATAGGCTCTGCAATCTTTTCAGATGATGATGAAAACTGTACATTTTTTGACTGCATGGAAAATTCTGTGTGGCAGAAAACACTATGCATCAATACCCTGAACACACTATCCTCAAGGTGAGACATAGTAGTGGCAGCACCATGCAGTGGGCATCATCTGTTCAGCAGGAAGTGAGAAACTGGTCAGAGTTTCTCACTCCCTCCTGCTAGAGGTTGCAAGAGAAGTGAGTCTGGGAGGGGAGATCACCTTCTGGCAGGAGAATGACCAAAACCATGCAGACAGAGTGTTAATAGAATGCTTAATATCAAAGCATTTTCATGGGATAGAATGGTCTAGCCTGAGTTATTCCAACTGAGAACATTTTTGCAAAAAATAATAATATCATATTTTCTGTGGTAATGAAATCAAAATGTTCTTCAGATTACCATTTGTTTTTATCTTTTCCCATTGCAAAATAATGGAATGGGAAAAAAGACTATAAAACTGTCTTTTATAGTAAGATAGTTGAAACTGTATCATTTTCTATTTTACCCCTGCAGTTCAAATCATTAGAAATCTTTAGTCTTTCACAGTTTTTGAAACAGATGAAATGTAGTGTAAGTAGATAGCTACCATGCCACCAGCACTACTACAACCACTTGAAGTGAAATACTGACTGGATCAATTTTTTTCAGAAGTGAGCAATGTAATGTTCTTTATAAACAACAGCCGTACCTTACTTGAGAGTCTGTTTCTGTCAGCCATATATACAATGTTGATGTAGATGCTTGCCATGAAATACGAGACTTGCAGTTTTTAGCACTCAGACTTGTCACTTTTCCAACAACAGCTCAGAGTTTTAGGACCACAAACAATATACCAGATACAGCATATTTATGTACAAAACTGTTACTTGGCTTGAACATCTCCTTTGTTAAGATTTACAAAAAAAGAGACTTCATTTTGGGACTACATAAAACAAAACTTTTTTTCTCATCTTGGAAAATTTTTATTTTGTTCTTTTTCTTGGGGTTGACTTTGTTATGTGTTCAGTCAAAAATGGCCGTTGCGTAATCACGTTTTGAAGGTTTGTGAAGTATCCTTTGTTTTTAGCCAATAGTAGGTCCCACAATTCATGAAAGACACTCAATATCTCAACTTTATGTTTTCATTTTCCTTGATCAGCCTATGTTCTGTTATGTTTTACTGTCAATAAAGCATCAGGTTTGTTGTTGCTTTCATGGATTATGTGACGTTATAGTACAAAATTCATTACAGAGACAGACTGTACACATTCTGTATCTTGACTTCAGTGGAAAAGATATCTGATTTGCAACAAAAAACTATGAAAAATGTATCAGGAGCATTTGAGTTGTTGAGTCTAAATAACTAAATACTTTGATAAACAAAATAGCTTAAAAACTTTAAAGTATCAAATAATCTTATTGTACTAAGCCAAAATATTAAGTACAAAAAGCATCAATGTGCTTTCATGTTTATAGTCACTACCAAATGTCCATCTTACTGTTTCTCTCTCTAAGAAATGTACCAGCTTTTTAATTTGGGCACACTGTCTTCACCACTACATTTTAGGCCACAGTTAATTAGAGGACTTTAAAGAAAACTGTTGCAGAATTTATAATAGAAATTCTACCATTAGCTGACACTTTGGTGGTCTAATTACACATGTATGTTTTTGAACTGTGGATGAAATCAAATTTACATAGCAACCAAAAAGGGAATTAGAAAAAAACTGAGTTCACTGAAGAAATGTTCAAGTTGTTCATCCAACAAAGGAACACTTTGTGACTTGTGCTTTCAGATGAAGATAATGCCCAGTGTATTTGCTTTACACCAATGTTATCAAAGATACAGTTTTTTTTTTTTTTTTTTGTCTGTGAGGAATGTGTTCTAGAAAAGGTCCTTTCAATTATCTGAAAACTATCTCTGAGCAATTTCATTTTGCAGCTTTGAATTGTTGCTAGAATTTAACATTTCAATTTTGTGTTTTGAAGTTACAAAAATTAGATTCACATATGTTGTGGAAACAAATGATTGAAATGCAGTGGTTATTTATCTTGACAGCACCATAGCGTACATAGTGATCTGGATAGAACTTTAACTCAAGCCTAAAATGTCTAGTCCAGCAGACAATCACTTGTTTCAACCTCTCTCATAAATAGTTAAAAACACAACATTTCTCACTACCATTGCTTAGCGACTGATACATTTAGATAAACAATGACACTCCAACTGCACACACATTTTGCAGTGATTTGTGTTAAAAAAAAGTACTTTTGATGAAGACAGTGCCCAGTTATTTTTGAATTATTTCTCCTCTTAAGAAAGAGAGTCAAACTTTTCTTTAAATGCCACACGTTATACTGGAATAAAATGTGCGTTTAGTTACCTGACAATCACACTGCCACAATCAAGTCTGCAATACTGTGTGGAGAAGCTGCCAAAATGGCAGTATTATGTGACTGAGCATCTCAAACCATTAGGCCATGACAGTGACAATGAGGCTTGTCCAGAAGTGTCACCTCTCCCAGTCTTTGTCTGTCTCTGCCTTTCTTCAGCTCTCCCTGCTTTTGTCTCCCTTCCTGTGTCTCATTCTCTCCATGTTTCAGACTCACACCCACACACATAGACAGAACATCTTTATTAGTCGTCTGTATGCGGGCTGTGCTCAGCCTGAGATTGCAGGACTGACCCCTCGCTGCGAGCTGTACAGGGGAAATGTTTACTCAAACCCCACAGAACATGCCATTAACCTCTTTCTAGATAGAAGACAAACAAGACTGTCCCTCCATGAGGGCAATAAAGACAGGCACAGCAAGGACCATCATGGCAATCATCTCATTATAAATCTACGGGAGGCAGTAAGGAGTCAGGAAGCGTCGTCTCCCGGGGATACTTACTCTGCTGTGTACCACTGTGTCTAACATTCAGTAAAGTATTTATGACATGCAGCAAAGTGAAATCAACTAATTTGCCAAACACATGCACAAATGCATCAGCCACTTCTGCTTACATTTATGAACCAATCTATGTGCATAACGTCATCCTCGTTAGTTACCTATCTTGCATTTCACTCTGCCTTACTGCAGCCGCCCCTTCCCTGCAGACGCAGAACGATCTCCTCAGGCTGTGACTAAAGCCCCAACAGGGGAAGTTATCCTGGCAGAAAAAGGGAAGGAGAGGCAGAGGTGCCTGATGAAAAGTCCGGGCACAAGAGAAAGTTCTCCTTCTTCGGCTCCTTCAGGCAGTAATTCAATCATGTCTTGATAATTCCCCCCATGTGAGAAATGAAACCCCCTCCAACACATTGAGGACAGATAGACAGCAGAGCCTCAAATTCATTTCAGATTGAGGACCCCCTTCTGGGTGGGCTTAAGAACCTACTACAGAGTATGTTTTACTTATGTCATTTTAAGAGGCTATTACTTTAATTGAAAAAGTTACCTGTTGCCACAGGCAAGTGAAGGAAAAAAAAAAACTTAAGAAAAACAAGGGTAGGTATTAAAACAAAACACACCAGATGGAGATATGCATAGTAAAAATGATTGTTTATACTTACTGTTTGATTATATGTGATAATAGAAATGGGATTCCTCAAGGCAATTAGTGTCAGCAGCAGCCATATTGCAATAGGACAAGGGAAGGGCAGCATGGGCTGTTATGAAGGAGCGCTTATCAAATATCTCTGGCGGAGTGATTAGTGTAATAAGACACTGCAAGGTGAGATAGACCACTCAGTATTTTAGTTTGCCTGTGTATTATGTGTGTCTATTATAGTGTGTGAGAACTAATTTGTGCTTGAATGCAGCAGTGAAAACAGAAATGATTGAGTCTGTCCATCTGTTTTTATATCTGTGTGCCTGTGTTTAAATGTGGATCTTAATATCTGCTGTGCCCTGTGAGCCATTTATGAGCCTGGGAGAGTGAAATGATTTTTATGTGACTGTAGACTTTAAAAGTAGTCTGTCAGTTTTAGCCTGTGACGAAGGGCATATTGGGGGTACTTACCCCTGGCAGCGTCTTCTGTTCATGGAGGGCGCTTTGGGCCTTCAGTGCTGACTCTCTGGCACAGTATGTTAGAAAGGCACATCCTGTGTGAGCGTGGAAAGAGAGGAGAAATTTGATTAGATTTAAAAGAATGAAATAATAATAGTTGGAATTCAGATGTTTACCAAAATGATATTTGGAGGATATAATTATTTAGTGCAAGGCATCACCCATGTATTTCTATCAAGGTATACTAAACAATTAAAACCACATTCATTATTCTTATTAAGTACTTTTAAAAAGATACAAAACAATAAAAAAAAGAAATCCTGGTATGACCACAGTTTTCTCAAGCTGTTTGTTGCAGAGGGTACATTTTCAAAAATGCTTTTAACTCCAATGATGTATTTTTTTATGTTATAGTCGACCGCAGACCTCCATCTGCTATATACAGTGAAATAGAAGCAACCAGGAGTAGAAAATTGCGAAGAGACTAATGAGTCTCATCAGGCTGTGAAGAAACAGTTTCCACATTGACCTGTTTGTCTCTACTCATTCAGGAGATGTTTGAGAAATACTCTCTGTTAACTGCTTGAGCAAACCTGTATCAAAGATCAAGAAATTTTAACTTGGACTGCAGCACAATGCAGCTTAATCAAGCTATTAACACACAACGTTCCCCCTCCCTGACTTGTTGCTGTGCAGTCACTTGGATGAGGGAAGGCTTGCATACCTTTCCTTTGTGTACAAGATACACAATTTTGTCTCTTTTTAAAATACTTTCAGTCACATTTGTTATGCTTGCATTGCACCATAAAGAGCAAACCAGGGAAAAGTATAACGTTCTGCTTCATGCACAAGCAATTCAGAAATACTTGGAGTAGAGGTACTTAAAAAAAGAGCTATGAAGATCCTTAAGAGGCTCTGTTATTGAGACCTAAATTTCAAAGTGCAATTATAACAGTATAGATATTAAATCATCACAGCGTTATTCAGATTGTATCCCCATGCAAAACTTTCCAAAGATGCCTCTGGTTATTACAATGAAAATGCATCTACTACTATGTAATTTTACTCAATGTCATCATACGAGAAGAGTCTCAATCCAGCCCTTTTTAGTACCATGAAACATAAGTAGAATACCTGAGAGAAAAAAAAACAGTATGCACCTTCGTCTGATTCTAATTTGGTATTTACACAAAAGGGAATATTTCATTTTAATTGCAAAGCTCCAAAACAGCTCCAAACCAGCTCAAATTAATGAAGTGAGCCAAACTTCACTGTTCCTTGAAAGCTTAAGCATCTTGAAAAAAAGTATAACCTGCCAAAAAGAGAAATTTAAAAATGCATTATTTTCCTCACTAGGCCAATGACTGTAGTTTTACAAGTCATTGGAATTCATATATATCCCATCTAGAGGAATGTGGCTCTCTGAAGCTAATAGCTCCACACCCTCAGAGAAAATAACATGCTGCTTCAAAAACAAGATTTTTTTTTTATATAGCAACTCCATCAGATTAAATCTTGTTAATGCATGCATATCTTCTGATGAATGGAAAAGTGCTTGTGTCAGTCTCATGTAAAGGAGACCAAGCAAAACTAAGTGTAAAGTGTGACACACAGCTGTAAAACCTTGAAGTTTGTTTAATTTAAACCAAAGAGGTGATGAAAATGCTTAGTCAGCCTCGACTGGAAGATTTTTTTCTTCTTTCCCATTTGTGAAAGAAATTACACCCACTGCTTTTTGATAAATGATTACTATCACAGTTACTGAGCCACAAATCAGTATGCACGGTGATGAGCTGAAACTGTACCCCCACACATCTCCGGGGGCTATTCTTTGAAGTCAGAAAATTCAGGAGGCAGAATGTAAATACATAGTTTATGGCAAATACGTCTCTGACAAAAATGTGACAGCATTCATTAAAGGTTGAGTTGTTGCTCTGTTATGTGCTTGGCAGAGCTGACAATGGGTGACCCTGTTCAGAAGAGGTTTTGCACTGAGCAGCATAATTTCCCATTACTATATGTCACACCTACTGCCAAGGATTCCCATGGGGGACTACACACAAACACACACACACACACACACATGCATGCAAGCTCACACACTCACACATTCGGATGATACTCTGCATGCCTAGCAAGCATCACCCCCAAAAGCCAGCAGCACACTCTGGCACCTGGCCAAAAGAGCTGCGTTTCACAACAACCTTCACCCACCTCCACAACTAGGCAGTTACTCAAGAGGAAAAATCACCTAAATGACACTGACGAACCAGCACGGCACACAGCAGAGCAGAAAAGTTTGGGAGCCTGGAGAAACACTTATCATCCTTTGTGTGACATTACAAAACTGTTGAGCATGAACCGAGAATGTCCAGGGGGACAAGTCCCACAAGAGACTCAGGAGGCTTGTAAGCTAAAGGTAACACTCATCTCATTTTGCTTTTACATAATTCTGAAACTTTTTTGGGAACAAACACTGACACACATCGCACATGAGAGACTTTCTTTTGTTTGACCCATTTTCTCTGTGATATCAATAAAAAAATCTTACTATAATGTAGCTCTGCTGATTATAATCGGATAGAATGGTTGAATGATCTAATTTGCTAATTTGTCTGCATTGTGTTGTGTTGAACCTTGTTTGGTTTTTCTTCATATATTTACCAGAATGGGTTTGATTAAAAAATAAATTATGAAAAAAAAAAAAATCAATTGAACTCATTGTATCTGACAAAAACAAAAAATACAAAAAATAAAATAAAGATGTGTTGGTGTAACCAACCCCTCAAAAAAAGATTTAGACTAAAAAGGAGAGTTACAGTCATACCTGCTGCAACATAAGTTTAAGTTAAGAAAATAAAATCAAGACAGCTTGAAAATCAATGAATCCAAGTATTGAGTGTTTATACTGCAAAACGTAGCTCTTAAAGCTGCAGTATGTAACAATGGTAACAAATAAGAATAATGATAAAAACAATAATAACAATAAAAAACAGTAATAATAATAATAATAATAATAATAATAATAATAATAATAATAATAATAATAATAATAATAATAAATGTTTTCACGTATTTGCCTATACAACAAATAATATGTGAAAAAAAGCATGATTGACAATATTAAGACTGTCTTCCTTGCTCTGATTGGTTGTTTCTGACTGATCAGTCATATATATAAATACACAGTACATTTATATATATTGCTGTATTAATAAATTACTTTTGATCTCATTTGAAATTGCAATTACTTGAGAAGCTGAATTTTTGGTCAATTCAGCTGTAAGACTTTAACAGAACATTTAAAAGAAATACATGTCTAAAAGAAATTTCTAAAATATCTGACTGTATATAAGTGATATATTTAATCTGCTTCACTTTGGAATAAAATTTCTGAAAGAAGTTTTTAAATTCTTCAATGTTAATTTGTTAATATGTTAAACCTGATTTCTTTCGCGTGTGTGTCATGAAACAGTATAATTTTGTCTTTTGCTGATTCCACTTCTTCTTTTTTTTTTCTTTAACTGAGTGAAGTAAAACATGATGGAATCCCGCCAAAGTGAAAAAGGGTTACTTTTCTTCAAGAGGCCATTTTTCTTCACAGTTTACATGACTTATTGAACTGGACATCTTGTTCAGCACAGCTTTTAAAATCCTGACCAGCTGTATGATTTCCTCTGCTTCTCCGCAGAACTGGAATCTCTGCAGGATTTTGGGAAAGGTTTGTATTCATAGAACTGATGGTTCAAGGGACATCTGAAGCCTAGAGGAGGCAGTCACTTAGAAAGCCAGATGTTGAACAGATGAGAAGCATGAAGAGAAGGATGAGTGAAACAATGATTTTTGAGTGAAGATAACAGCTGGTAGCAGGTTAGCCTGTCAATTTAAAATTAGAAGATGACTAACTGAATTGGGAGCACATTTCTAATTTCAAATTATTGCATACTATTGTGCCTATGCATGAATTCAATGCAGAACCTAAAAAGAAAATCACATTATGGTCCTAAGGTGATGAAACTTTAAAAAGATTGGAGCTTCAAATGCTTTGATATTCAGTTGACACCATTAAAAATCATTTGAACCACCCTTTTCAAAACTCAAATTAAGCTAACATTGACCAAAGATTATAGAAATAAGTTTTCTGAATTAATTGGGGAAAAGAAATACAAGAGGAGGATTTCATAGATGAGTTTCTGAAATGAAAGCTAAGCTCTGGTGGTGGTTTGGCAGTCAGACTCCTAACTTCCTGTGATGAGCAGGTTAAGTGGGGTGAAAGTAATACTTTGGTAATCAAATACAATTTACCACACCATAATTTAAGCAAGGGACAAAAGTTCAACCAATTGTATGTAAGGGAAATGGGAAAGTAAACCCTGTGAACTGGTTCAAAGAAAAAGCAAAGAAGGTGAAATTAGTCTTTGCACTTGCAAGAAACATTTTGGGTAATTACTTTAAGAACTTTTTTTCTGACAATAAAGCCTTTTTGAACAACTTGTTTTGAAATGGAAATAAGCTTGTGTTAACAACTGTGTGAGTACAGGAATGAAAAGTGATTTTGTTTGTTTTTATGTTTGTTTTAAGAAAAAAACCCTTAGCGACTAATTGAAATAACATCTTAACAAATGTGGCGAAAACCTCAGTTTAACAGGAACTTCTTACAAAATACATAATTTATTTTTCCCTTACTATTTTTCAATATCTAATTAATGTCTTTTTTTTGCAGAACAAAAATTAACATTAAAATTGTCTTATAGAAATGACACAAAATAGACAAGTAACAAGATGCTGTTGCATGTGACAGGCAAAGAGACAAATATGTTAGGATTCATCCAGCACTACCCGTATCTGACTTGGCCACACTATTACCAGCCATCGCTCCATCTCTCCGTTGTTCCATCTATCGACTTTTGAAGCGGCCTGTTCACAGCCGCTAGTTGTCTGCTTCCCTCAGAGCCTCCTTTCTAATGATCAAAGAGGTCATCTGTAGACTTAAGCTCCACCTGTCACTCAGCTTACACAGTCTGTCAGTCATTTACCAGCACTTGGTCTACAACGCCCCTGTTGTAGAGAAAGACCAATACAAACATCGTGCCGTGGCTCAGCTGTTTTTATTGAATTAAAGTTTATTCCTCAAAATTCAAAGCAAACCTAAAAAAGCTGAAGAAACACTTTCAAATATTTGTTTCCAAATCACCTTTCTGCTGTGGTTTACTTCTGGAAATGTAGTCCCCAAAATGCTTGCTTTCCAGCAGTTTGACTGGCTATTTTTAGTCAATTACACTGCGCAGACCAACCAAGGAGAGGAGAATGGATGAGGATATTTAAGAACTCTTTGTATCTCTTACTCCTGGCTGTGTGGCACAGCTCTTAGTCCCCCCTCTCAGCATCAGAGAAGGATTGATAGATAATGCTACTCAAGCAAAAGATTTGCCCCCCACTAACATTCAGCATGTCTGAACAATGCATGCACTCTGGCACTGACACTAAGTATTATGATAATGTATGGCTCAGCAAAATGATAGATGTTAAACAGCTCGACCTGGCTGCACCACGCACTGATGAGCACCATACACGCGGATAGTGCCAAGTCATCCCACGCACTGCATAAGGCTCCCCAAAGGCACGCAAACTATCAAATCAACATTAGAGGAAACTGTGTTGCAACTGCGGGAGAGGACAGGCTTATCTTTTAAATAAATCTAAAAGCACTGTTTTCCATCTCTGCTCAAATGTCCAGGACGACATGAAATGTAGAATTCCCCAGATATTCTCACAATTCCCCAGAGATCCCCTACAGAGCCAAAGTAAGAATTTGCAGAGCACAAAACATCTGTTCAGATTGTTACAGTACTACTTACATGAATTAGTCATAAGGAAACATGGCATGTTCCAATCTGGCCTTAAATCCATAATTATGGTGCAGTTTTGTGTCACAGCACCCGGGCGGTGAAGAAAAGTAGAGCCGCAACTCGCCTATGGAGAACGATTAACTAACTGACACCTGCAGCCATACCCATCCCTTACTGGAAATAAAGTCAAAGCTTTATTAAGCACAAGCTGCGATTTTAAGGTAGGTGTCTGAATGCAAAGAGCAAAGTCATTATGAAGTTTTTAATTTAAGGGATCACAAAAATAAACCAATTATCTAAATTTAGTACTTTATTACCCTGAAGTCAAATATATGCATGTTAGACTTTAGCACATTATGCCAATATCTAACACATTATACAAATGAGACACTGAAATTAAACTTGTCATTAAATCAAACTGGAAAATTAAAGACTATTTTACACGGGGTTTTTTGTGTGTGGTTGGGTCTTAAAAATGAATAATCTATTAGCAACACAACATGCAGCATAAAATGGGCAGGCTTCAAAATTAACCTGCAAAAAAGTACTGAATATCATTTCTAAAAGTCAGATTGAAATTTTATGCAAAACAGAGGCTTCAGAATAAGCATTTAGACACAAGACAGGAAACAAAACTGTCAAATCTAATTTCACAATGGAATCTCATCTGGAAAAGAGAACTTTGTCAAATTTCTTTTGTGCTTTCCTGATTCTTTTTGATTTTCCTTTCAAGCAGTCAGACTTTCTTATAATTTTTTAAAGTTGATCCTGAATTAATTTGTTGCCTTGCTGTGGTACATTTTGCTAAAAACAACAACAATAAAAAAAACACAAAAAATAACAGGAATCCTACGCAGTGAAACGGTTCTAATAAAACTTGTGTAGAACTTATTTCACAAGAAAAATGTCTTCAGTGAAACTTTAACCAAAAACTGAATAATTATTGGAAACTGGAGATTCAAATGAAAGTTTTATGAAATGAAAAGGAAAGTTTTATTTGAACATGATAAAACAGTCTTCCATTCACTATTAAGATGTTATGTTATGTTATGTTATGTTATGTTATGTTATGTTATGTTATGTTATGTTATGTTATGTTATGTTATGTTATGTTATGCTTCCCAGAAGCCTGGGACATTTAGTTTCATTTCTGCTGGCTGAATGAACTCAGTAAACCCAGGGGAGCTCATAATGTTGGGGAAGCCATAATCCAAATGGGAGAAAATAAAATAAGTGTGGGATGTTATGTTTTTTTTCATCCAAAGTATTTTTTTTTCTTTTTACTGGCTCTTTCAAAAAAAAGAAAGAAGTTCAATTGAACATTGTGCCAGGTTCATAAAATGTTTACTGTCATGCTATGTAATTAATTTCCTTTTCTTTCTTTAGTGTTTTCCTTCTTTTTTTGTCTTTCTGTTGATTAATCAAAAAACAAGCTTAAAAGTTAAAAATCAACTGTGCCTGGTTCTTCTTTTTCAGTGCTGTATTGCTACGTTTCAGTTTTGATGAATCACACATTGACACAGCAGGAGTCTCGGATGTGGTTTGGATGAAGGGCCAGTAACAAAAACTAATCCCTATAATGCATGGGTGACATCTTATTAAAAACACATGCTTATGTCACCCAAGTACTTTTGAATGTCACACAGGATGGAGCAGGCATGACACGTACATCAGGGTGGCCTTGGTGGAGGATGATTTGAACGTACACACAGTTTGGCTTTGGAACAAGATGACCCTTCCTGTGGCGACTATCCTCAGGACTGTTGACATTCAGGCACGGTTGAGGATGTCCGCAAACAAGAAGAACACCAGGAATATTATTTTAATCGATCATCCAGGGCGCCGAAACAAAACAGTGGAATGATGAGGGGCAGGTCAAGCAACAGCGGCTGATGGCTGGAGGAACAGGTGGTGCATGGATGTCTTGAGGGATGCAGACACAGAGCAGCAAGACTTAACACCGCGCTCATTCCTCCCACGAAGGGCTTTGAATTGTGTTAAGCAATGAGATCATGAACTGTGTCCCCTGTCTCACTTATTACACTTACATTTACAGGCTTGAGAAGCAATATTCAGCTCATAATTTATTGTCATTATATATCTTCAGATGTATATTTTAATATTTAAAGTGATCAATTAACATATGTGTGAAAGTATGTAACAGAGATAAGAGTTATATCCAGCAGGGCATAACTGAATATTAAAGTGGGGTAAATATTTAAAATTATGCAAACTGATCCAAAGTAGCAAAGACTATTATTATTATTATTATTATTATTATTATTATTATTATTATTATTATTATTATTATTGTTGTTGTTGTTGTTATTGTTAATAATAATAATAATAATAATAATAATAATAATAATAATAATAATAATAATAATAATAATAATAATAATAATAATAATTTTAATACATTACTATTATTAAATACATTGCTTTTTTTGCGGAGTTCAATCAAAAACTAAGAAAAACTTAAGAGATTCAAAGTTTATGAATATAAATATCCTTAAGCAAACTTCGGACTATTCTTCAAGTTCCTCTTTTTTTTCTTTGTTTTGTTTTTGGGTTTTTTCGGTTATATTATGACTTCCACGTTTTTTTTTTTTTTTTTTTTTTCTGCCCGCTTTCTCTCGTTTATTTTTATCACAAGCATATCATTAGATCATTGATCGATCCCTGATGATCCGTGTCCTGTCTGACTAATTACTGAGCGAGCTCGGAGCCCGATCGTTTTGGACAATAAAGGGGTTGGTTGAAAGAGTGTGTGAATTTGCACAGAGCAAGCCAAAAGACGATGCACGCTGATTCTCAGCCTCCACTATTATCACGCATTGTACTTCCTAACTGCATAGCCGCCCACGGAGCACCATTACAACACAGCTGCCATGTAAATAGTATTTTCACACAGTTAATGACATCCGAAAAGTAAGGCAGCCTATCAGCCTGCTAAAAGGTCAGAGCTGCATGCCAGCACCACCTTAATCACAGAGGCTGATTGCCTGATAATGGTTTGCATTTTCCGCTCCCAAGAAAGCATTTATTTCTATCTGACAATGGGCACCAAATATCCATTTTTTTTCCCTTAAGTTACAGAGAAATGGGGCTGCAGAATAGCAGCATCCCGTGTACTTGCCTGTCCACTGTCCCACCCCCTTCACTGGCCTCACCAGGAGCTTCAGCACATGAGAGTCAATGTAAACACACACAAAGGCGTTTTCAGCTGTAGTATTCACGTGGACTCGCTGAACGCCGTAACAATTAACACTCCACTTCTCACTTTCCACGTGTTGTCCGTCCCTCATGTACATCTATATAGATCTGTATATGTAAGTGGGACAGGCAACATATACCGACACACTTTCCTAACCGACTGCTCCACTACTGAGTCGGGATATTTTAAATTTCTTCTACTGCTGGATCTCTACGTATATGCACTTTCTGTCTCTTATGTGTGCTGTATCTCTCCAATGAATCGTAAAAGTAAGGAGAGCAAAGCAACCAACCTTTATGCATTCCCGTAAACCTGTCTTTCAGTACAGTGAGTTCATATATCTTTCCGAATTCCTCAAACAGGGGTTTCAGGTCTTTTTCCTCCAGGTTTCTGGGAATCTGCCCGATGAAAAGCTTGATGGCGTCGTGGTCCTTCATTGGAATGGTGTTCTGGCCGATGGTAAGCCCGTTCATCCTGCCGGCGCTGTTCGTGGTGCTGAATCCATTCTCCTGCTGCACTCCGTTTGCAGTGACTGTAGCCATCTTTCCTCAATGGGCCGGCGGGCTACTCTCTCTCTCTCTCTCTCTCTCTCTCTCTCTCTCTCTCTCTCTCTCTCTCTCTCTCTCTCTCTCTCTATGTAGTCAACTGCACGGTGTCACAGTGCACCCCCCTCCCTTTCTTTATATCTTCCTCTCTTCCCACTCCTCCTCCGGCTCGTCTCGCTGCTTCTCTTCCTTTTTATTTTTAAATACAGTCTGTAAGCCCCGTCGTTTGGAGTTAGTCGTGTTTGCTTCACCTTGTGCTTTAAACGTTTTTTTCAATTTTCGGGTCGCCCCAACCCCCTTCCTCTCCCAACCCACACACACGCTCACAGAGTGCCACTGTGTCCCGTAAGAACAGTTCATAGTTTATGAACAGACCACGCCCCCTCGCTGATTTACATCATGAGTTCGGTCCAGACGAATTGAAGAGGAGGAGGATGCCTGTGCATGGCTCCCAGAGGGCAGCGTTACAATGCAAACATTTGTGCAAAGTAAAATCCGTGGGATATTTAGAGTGTATCGCAAAAGTAGCAAGCCATTTGTGAATGTTTCCACATTTTGTGACGTAGTGAATTTTATTGAGATTAACTGAAACTAAATAATTGAGATTAAGGTAAAGGGAGGATTTTGTTTCTTACAATAAAACATAAAACCAACAAATATATGTGGTATATACTTGAATCCAGTCCCTGATACCAATAAGTAAATATTTTCCTTCAGAAGTCATCTAATGTGTTTGACATCCATACATCCATCCCCTGTGCCGTCTCGTATATATTTATTTGAGTGTGTGTGTGTGTGCGCGTGCACACACATCCTCTTTGAAAAGTTTCAAAAGCAGAGTCAAATACAGCAGTTTGAAATTAATTCTGCTGAAACCCTGGAGCTGCTGTTTGTCACTGTCCGTGGTGCTGAAGCCACACTGCTCTTCATAGACCGTGAAATAGATTGTTGGAGCAACAATTTCAACTGTACATGTTTGCTCTGCAGATTCTTCAAACCCTCCATCTGTCTGCCGTGCACATTTTTTTTAATTTGTTTTTTTTTTGGGGGGGTTCTTTTTCTCACAAACAATCACACAATGATGCAGTCGGTGCCACTCTTCAGAGCGGTTTTGTTTTTTTGTTTTTTTATGCAGGGGAGCGTGTGGCCCACTCGTATCTTCTAATCTCCACAGTGCACAGAAATCTCTAATTAATGCAGATGGGAATGCAACATCAATACCAGACGAGTCTAGCTTATTCTGATAGTAATAAACATGCCTGGTATGACTGTCGTTTCTGTGGATCTTCTTATGTATCAATTATTGATTTGTGTGTGGCAAGTTTGCTAGAAACATGTGAAAACACTGCCTAGTGCAAGTGTCTGGAATACTTAGAAGTGCCCTTTGGAGAGCTTGAGATATTCTTCCACATCTCAGCAGTGCTGATCTGCACCTGGTCCTGACCTTCAATCTGTATGTGGAATTTGGCAAGTGAAATTATTATTTTTTTTTCTGATATTTTCAGAAGATTAGAAATGCTTGCTCACTGAGGTGCATTCACAAAGCAGGCCTAACCTAGCAGAGGTTTTAAGTAAATGAGTACAAAAAAGATGTAATTAAATAGTAATGATCAGTTTGTTCCACCACCTTTTCTAATTAGAGCAATGAGGCAGCCTCTAAAGAAGATAAATTGATGATCTATCTATCGATGGGGCAAATTTTCTGAAAAAAAAAAGGAAAGATTATAATCAACCAAATAACATGCAAATGCTTACAAGTGTGAGATTTTGAGTGGATTCATTCCAGTGGCAGGTGTTTCTGAAAATGTTTCTGAAGACCTTATTTGGTCACTTGGCAATAGGGAAGTATGTTTTGATGGATGGCAGGCAGTGAGCTGTACGGGACTTTCACTCCTGATGTTTGTCAGAGAAAACCAGTCTTTTGGGGACGATTGTGTTTGGAGAACAACATTAACATCTGGTACGGGACTTTCTTCATTCACAATATTTATTTATTTCCAGTTTGTTCACATCTTTGTTCTCCTCAAAAACATAATGGAGCCTCCCACCCCCCACCTCCCTGTAATACAACAGGTTTCCCTTGGCAAAACCATCAGGGCCACAATTTCCCAGAAACACATAGCTAATTTAACTTAAGTGCCAGTTTATTAGCTTTGTGATTTTGATGTTCTGCTTCTGTCTTTTCTCTGGAAAATAGTTTCCCTGCACAGCTGTGCAGACTGTGAACTGCCTAGTAGAAAGAAATGCAGGTACTGCATGATCTGTCTAGTTATGCCCATGTGTACGCAGCCTATTTGTGCACACACAGGCAAGCACATCTAATCTAAAATGTTGACAAGGTTCTTCTTCCTGTCTGTGCCAACCTCAGCACCGAGCTGAGGTCGCACAGGACACATCTTCTGATTGCGCTTCTCTTCAACAGAAAAGTAGCTAGAATTACTCAAGGCTTTTGTCAAGTGGAGGCGCACATACAAATAGAAGCCACATAGATGAGGAAGAAATACCTTAGAAATCTTAGAATCCTGGAAACATATGCCACTCTAATCTTTCTATTATTTCATGATAAAAACTACATTTTCACATTAAAAATCACAGCTCTACCTGAGACGGAGACTGGAGTAAAGTGTGAACATGTTAAATGTGTCAAAAATAATTTCCAGGCTATTGCAAAAAATTATTTACCCCGGGGAATTTACATAGTGGAACTCCAATTTTCCACACCTGAGTGAGTGCCATTTCAGGTTTTATTACCCAAATTTTTTATACCACTGTCAAGGTGACTTGTTGGAATGTCACAGATACACCACTTGAAGCTGCTTCAAAAAATATAGTTCCCTGAAAAAGCCAATCAGTGACATAAGTCATGCATTGTGCAATAACAGTAAGGTGTCATGCACAATTCCTTTCTACTGTCAGTTCATTATCCCATTAAACTAGAAAGATGGAGACTCCAAAGTTCAGCGTTGTCATGCATGAACATTTTTCCCTGTCTGTTTTTCACAACATAAGTCCAAAAGGAGAGCAGGCATTGATATTCACGGCACAGCCAGCTTGAGGTGCGACAGTATTTTTGTGAATCTGTGAGTGTATATGGAAATGCTGGAGCTGCCTCAAACCTCAACTGCAGTCTTTGCCTGAGGGAGGGGTACATTTGTTCCCCCCAAGACACTCACACACACAAAGTCGGTCACACACACTCTGGAAGATAAAGAACCACTCACTCAGAAGCCATAATTTTCTCTTAAAAACACAATTTCTCGCCAGTTCATTTGTTTCAGTGCTGCAGGGAAAAGGCAGACGTGATTGCTGAACAATGTTCCAACATTGTTTTGGTTAAATTAAGTTGTGCTCATTTTTATTTTGAAAAGGTAAATTACACGTCTTTCTTTATTCCCTTTATGTTTTGTGTACCATGTGTGCTGCTTTCGTTGTGCTGTGGAACGATAAGCAGGCGCCTTGCTGCATGTTTAAGTTTAGCACTGAGACAAAGTGGGGAATAAATAAGAGAAAAACAAATAAGAGGTCATGGAGACCACAGTGAGTCATCTGCTTTCTGAAAACTAATGAATCCAGCAATCTTCTATGTGGGCCTCCCCTGAGTACTGTCCCACCAGTTTTACTTGCCGCATGTAAATGCAGCATTTTGCTTTTTGTTAGTAGTTGACTCTGACTATTTCCACTGTATATTCAATATGTGTGGGCTGGGAATATGATTTATAGCCAAAACTTTTCAAAAGTTTCACAAGTATATGAAAAAATGGATGAAGTTCATAAAGCTTTCTTAGGAGTTGTGACAAAATTAATTTGTTTTCTTCTAACAAAGCACATTTGTGTTTGACAAATGTGTACTAAATGTGAAAAATTATTTTACATGTGAAAGGTTTTCAAAATCTTTTTCACCTGTTACTACAAAACAAAAAAATTCAAAAAAAGTGGAAAGTTTTCTATACTACACTTGTTCCACATGGCGCTTTGTAACCAGAAATATGGGAAAACCATTTCACTTGTAAAATCTTTCACATTTGTATGGTTTTCCCACATTTCTTTTTTATCATTTCATGTCACAGTTTTTACAAGTGAAACCCAGTAAAACATATCTAAAATTATCTAAAATATGAAAAGTTTTAAGAGCTGTTTCTTGTATAGGTACCTGTGAAACATTGTAAAGTGAATTTTACAAATGGAAAACTTTCTACACGTTACACAAATTGTTACATAATGTAATTTCGACGTCAATTACATGAGAAAACCTTCCAACTGTGAAATCTAGCTCAGGTTTTTTCTTTTTACTGATAAAACATAAATAAAGGCAGACACATTAGGCAGCTATGGCACTATTAGTAACAATATTAAAACAATTTTGAGAAAAATACATATTGGCACACAAAGTGCATTCTCAGGGCAAAGTGAGAATTCAAATTTGAAGAAATGTTTTCAGCCCATCTTGTGCCATTTACAATGGTTTATCAAAGGTCATAGAAGAAAGATGGTCTGTCCAAAACTCATGCATGCTCCTTTGCACAGTGGAGATAAATGCTGTTTCAAGAAAAAAAGGAGTTGTCAGGCAACCAGAAGATTGTGAGCTTGTTTCTGGCTTTCCTCACAACATAATAAAGCTTCTTGGGATAAGGCTTGCATAATGTGTCAGTGTTTTTGAGTAAAGATATGTCAATGACAATTACACTTTTAAAGCAAGCTGAGTGGTGGTATGACACACTACAATATCAGTCCATTTTACGGTTTGATAAGTAATTACATGGGCTTTGTATGGGCATCATATGCAGTTGCCTGGGTTTGACATGACATTTCTTCATTTTTCCAACATGGTTACTACATCTTAATTTTCTAGAGATAAAAAAATAGATTATGTTGAACATTAATAATCTTTAATTCATCGTAAGATGAAAATAATCATAAATAAATGCAAAGTTTAAGATTTTTTTTTTTCATAGGTTTTATGAACCCATAAAATACTGTGCAACAATTTTGTGACTTAATAATGCTGACTTGCTGACATGCTGACATGCTGCATGCATGCATTATTTTGAGTTTGGTGTTCAG